ACACACACAACACGTGAATACTTTCACGTGTTGTACAAATGAAAGAAAAATTTACTAGATAAGATAGAGGCGAAATAATGTGATGTAACACTTTCTTAAAAATAAATAACAGAATCTGATCTGACCCCGACGAGGCTTTATTCTTCAATTTATTCGATATCAATTGCAGTAATTCAGGTTCTGAAAAGGGAGCGAGAAACAGGGACTCATTGAACCGAATTATTTCTGATTCAGGAAGTTGAGCTATACTTTGAGGCTTATGTTCACTGAGAAGTTTGATTGGCATATTTATGAAAAATTCATTAAATAAATTACTGATTCTCTCTGGGTCTTCAGCAGATTCATTTTTATGCGAGATAGAGATATTATTGAAGGAATGTTTTCTCGTACGATTCGTAGCCGTATAGATCGCTATAACTGTACGAGTATAATGAGCGGAGTTCAAAATTTCTTTGAGCCTCATTTGAGCGGGTTTTATTATCGCAGCTCGACCTTCGTAAACGTCATCAGTGTCTCCATGAAGTGATAAGTAATTAAAGGGTGGTCAGGCTACGTTGAAATGTTAACGGAGTTGTTGTCTCCTATACTTAAAAGGAAGAATTCCTGCTTCAGTAGAAAGTGATGAGTATCAATATTATTATTATTTTCATTATTTTTTAGGCAAGTCAATAAATTATTCAATCTTGGTTCGATTTTACAAAGGACAGAACTAAAAATAGTTTAGGTTGATTTGACTGCAACTTGTTTCCGTTTTGCTATTGAAGCAATGTTAATACACACTTGAATTTACGAAAAACGCGTATATTATTCATCAATTTCCGGAAACAAAATTGTAACCATTTTTTAATGCTTAATGACCTTATTGAATAATGGATCCGTTTCTCATCACCATCAAATATATAAATCGGATGTACTAAGTGATATTGTCATTTCGAAACAATGAAGGCACTGTTCAGTTTGTTTGCTATAATATTTATCTATATCAGGAGCACGAATGCTTGTGTAAGTTGAAACAATTTTCAATGATTTCCATTAACAACCGAAGTCCGGTAAAATGACATTTGTTTATTTATTCAATCATTTTAACCAAATTCTATTTTTATTTTTTCAGAATGGTTACACTATATCAAATTACCAGATAAGTCCCTGCATGGAAAATGGCATAATTAAACCAATTAATATGAGCGTGGTTTTGGATAATGACTGCAATTTGATATTTACAGGATGTTTGAACGTAGATAAAGCTTTGAATATGGCGGTGGTATGTACTTCAGATCAGTAAATATATATTATTGTGTTACAGCCATTGGTTCGTACTGTGTTTTATATTAACAGTAATACTACCATGGCTTTTCTTTTCTTGACTTTTTTACTCTTCAATTTTCATACAAAAAGTGGGAACTTCCGAAGAAAGGAAGAACACAACTAAGTATAAAAATAACTACACAAAAATGTGTAAATCATGCAAAAAAGTGTCTTTCCCAAACCGACTGAAAGGCTAATTCTTTCGAAATAGTTACTTCCACAGGAACATTGAATTACACGACTTTTTTTCCATTAAGTTTATATCAAAACAATAATTATTGAAATCAAACAGATGGCATTCATAGTAACGTCATACAACGTAATATATGAAAAAGCGTTGATATAAAATTTCTCACACGTCAGTACTTATTTAAACTTCTGAAGACGAGTTACAAATGAGTTTTCGACATTTTTTTGTACGAAGAAGGAGAAGTAGCAAAAAACATTTTATTGAATTATTCAATGCTGAAAAATCCACTTTCAAAGAAATAAAACCTTGCTGTTAATGTATAAGTTACGTATGCGATATACGAAAATACTTTATTTTGGACGAATATAACATTAGTAGTTCAAGCAAGGCAACAAGAATGCCTGATTATTAAATTAACATTTAATTATAATCTTTGTTTTATCGACTTAGCAAATAGTCGCGTCTAGAACAGCGGATGTAACTATATGCTGTGATGCTGGGTCAGAGAACTCGGGTTCGTAACTCCTCCATCCAAGACGATGGTATATTTGCGGTATATTCATGGGGGTGGTCCTTCTCTTATAAAGTTTCCAGATTGCAAAGGCAGCGGCAGCAACCATCAAGAGGGTTGTAAGGATGCTTGCAGAACTGGGTACTGCAGGGTGAATTACTTTTCTGTCCTGGATTTGAACACACTTGGCATCGTCTTGAAGTTCATGAATTTTCTGTAGTTCTATAGTGTTCAGATGGATTTTCCTGAGTTCCAACTCTTCAGGGTCAATCTTGTTTACTTCGATTTCTGGAATGATTAAAGGATGGCCTCTCACAATGTCTTTTTTGTTCCATAACTTGAAATCTCTGATTGTGAATCCGCAGTTGAATGGTACTTCAACAAGGCTGGAATCTCCTATGAGTGTGAATTCATCACTTTGGTAGGTCTTCAGATTTTTCAGCTGTTTATCATCGGGGATTACTAACACGTGTTGACTGGAGATATCTTCTATGATGGGGTTGGCTACGTAGACTCCGGTAGTGCGGCAGTTTGGATTGTCGGTTACTTTGATAAGGGCCTGCTATACAATCATCTGTTTGTGGATCGCGATGATCATGGCAAATATGTGTGTCCTCGATTACAGGGCACATCTTATCCTTGTACTGTTGTTGGTTTTCTCCAAGTAGTAGGAACGGGTGACTTGGAACGATTGTGGAGTTATTAATTGGTATAGGAAATAGGCGAAACATTTCCAATGAGTTTTGAGAGAAAATTGGAAGATGTATAGCAATTAAAAGTTTGTTTTCTGAAAAGGTAACCTGTGTGCCAACCAATTGATAGTATGAAATATAACTTTCAAATTGAAGAATCCTGTCTTTGTCTCATTATTTCTTCTAATTCTTTAGCTGAGATCACATTGCTGTTTAATGTTTTATTTTGTAAACCCCAATGAATCTTCTGAATTGTCCAGGAAGGTAATTAAATTTTTACAATTTAATTTAATATGGTTTGATGTATTCTGTGTTCCCAAATATTCTATCAGGTTTTGAGTGATATTGATTGAAGAAAGTCTAACCGATTTTTAATTACTTCCTGATTGGCAGTAAGAAGAGTTATTGTATTATTGTAATTGTCTATCAGCTTCTTAGAAAGTGATATCTACATTGTGATTTCCTTTAGAGTCTGAATTCAGAGTACCAAAAAGCAATTTGGACGTTTTTTCCTTTTGAGGTTGAATATTATTAATTTTATTTTCTACAACAAAATAAGAAACTCGGCGTGTTTCAGTAGATTGGACAAGTGTGTGTGGAAGGTTGATTTTGACATTTTCTACTATTTCATAGGGCATTTGCTGATTAGATTTGGTTACTTCATGACCTCTAACGTGATCGGCAATTTTATTTTAAAAGGATAGTAGAATTTTTAGTTGATTGAAAATTGGGGATATCTGGACAAAATGAATGAAAGTGTGTTAGATTATTTTGGGAATTCCAAGGTGGAAAGGGAGTAAGGGAGTTTTCCGTGGTGTGACTTTTATGTCACTAGTCGCTATTCTGGACAGTTAGGAGTATGCCTACATGAATCAATGGCGCCATCAGTTTCATTGTCCTGTGAAAGAACAGATATTTTAGATCTTTCCATTTGTGATTCGTGTACGAGTTTGTCTTTTGTTGTCTGTATTGTAGTCCCTAGGTCTTCCATTACTGTTTTCTTTCTATAGCGAGGTTTACTTTTATTTCTGGATGCCGTTTCACCTTTGACAAATGCCATGGTTCCAGCTTGAAACTTGAAGGGGTTCTTCACGTTTTTCATTTTATTATTCGTTAAGTTTGGTCTTGTGTTTCAGTGAGGTTTCACGTATTTTTTCAAAAAGGATTTTTAGTCTTTTTCGACGGTCGATCATGTACTGGTTCATGTGGAATTGGCCGCGGTGGTAGTGCGTCCGACTCACGATCGGAAGGTCATGTGTTCGATTCCCACCTCGACCAGATATTTTTCTCGAGAGAATTTATCTGGTTGAAGCTGGAATGATTCTGCAACCGTGTTAGGAATCACACGTTAAAAGGTAAGACCTCGTTAGTCCTTAGCTCGCACAAGTTTCTCAACTTCTGAGAGTTGTCGTTCGTATGGGGGCGGCAGCTGATTAACGGAAAAACAGATTTTTTTTTAAACAGATTATAATTTCGTCAGACATATCAAATAGGTCTAGAGCGTCAAGTCGTCCGTGGATAATGTCAAAAGGTTTTTGTTTCGTGACACTGTGATTTATGGAACTATACCCAACTATAGCATATTGGATTAATTGTTTTGGGCTTGCTCGTTGGTCTTCATTTTAAGAACTCGGAACATTTCAATCAGCGTAGAATGAAGTCTTTCCACTGGGCTGTTACTATTTGAATTCGCGTGTGTTGTAAAATGAATTTCAATATTGTGGAGGTTACAGAAGTCTTTGAGAAAAGAAGTTTTGAATTCAGGTCTACTATCACACGTGATTGATTTGGGTGTACCGTGATGTGCAATTAAAGTCGTTAAACTGATGAAAACCACGCTTGCCGTGCAAATGGGTTCGAGGGGGTATGCTTGGACGTATCTCGAGAAAATGTCGATGATGTCAAGAATTTGGAGTTAGAAATTTGAAATATGTCTATTTGAATTGCTTACGAACGCTCTGTCGGCTTTGGGGTCAATGAATTTTATTTTAGGTGGATTTCTACCATGTTTCGTTTGTTGGCATATGTCGCAATTATTCATGTATTCTGTTATTTGATTTTTCATACCTGGCCAATAATATACTTAAGGGCTGAGAGAGACTCTTTTATTCCGTGGTGACACATTCTTTCACGGTGTCTGTTTTCATCCGTTACGTCTTCGACGAACCGTGTCGAAATGACGAGTTTGAATGCTTGATTCTTGAAAAATTTTGGGAGAATGTTAGATAATTTTCGGGCAAGGTCAATTTCTGATTTATAAATGAATATACAATGTAGTTTTTAGGGTCCTGTTCAAGTTGCCAGATAAATAAACAGTTTGTCTGCGGCCAGTCCCGAAGGATTTACTGAGAATGAAGTGATAGGGACCGGATTCTTTTTGATTGAATATACTCTGATCAGTGAATTTACTGATGCAATACTCTGTTGTTTTGATTTCGAGTATTGGGTTTCCTATAGCAGAGTGGACGGTTTCACCGTCGTCGTCGTCGCTGTCAGGTCGCGGTGTTATAATACGACGGGTTGGATTCTGATTAGGAGGGGGTCCTATTTGAATATCTGACATTATGTTTATTTTCTTGTGTTTTCGATGTTGGGGTTGAATACCTGTTCCAAATTGTCCAGGTCCTCTGTGGTTATGTCCAACGGTTGTTCAGAGTTTACATATTGATTTATATCATCTGTCTCCAGGATTGACTAATATTGATTCATTGTCAATTTAATTGATTCCTACTCTTGATAAGGCATCGAAGTTCATATTTTTTTTACCTTTTTTGTACATTATCGAATAATCATACTCCTCGAGTTTCAGTCTCGATCTCACTAGATATCACTCAGAACATTATCAATAACCCTTTGAAATATCGCTGAAGCGTTCTTGAGGAAAAAGTTACTCAAAATGTCTATTTTCAATATTAAAAGTGGGTTTTTCGATGGAGTCGGGATGCATTTCTATTTGATGAAACCCTGACGCAAAGTCCAATGTTGAAAAATATTGGCATCAGCTCAATTTGTCCAAAATATCATTGATATTTGGAAGAAGATATCGATCATCGATGGTCATTCCAGTTAACTTCCGGTAATCGACTATGATACGTGATTTTTGTTTGCCAGTGGTGTCCAACTTTTTTGGGACGACCCAGATGGGACTACTCCATGGACTCTGGCTTGCTCTTATGACGTCATCGTCTAGCATCTTATTGATTTGTTTTCGCATCTTTTCTTTATGTACGAATAGATATCTATATGATTTTGAGTACACCGGAATTTCATTATGGGTTTTGATGACATGTTTGACTTTATTTGCAAAGGTTAACTTTTCATTTTATTTATGGAAAATGTCTGAAAAATCTCTACAGAGGGAGTGTTCTTCGCTATGCAGGTAGTCGCAATGAATTAAATTTGTTATATCAAGAGTTTTCTCGCAAGGGGATTCTACTTCTGAATTTTTTAAATGAAATAAATAAAAAAATGTTTTTTGACTATCAGAAAAAGGAGAACCTTTTATTGGTTCATTAAAAATTTTCGAATTGATTCGTCCGAATAATTGTAAATTTCGATTCTAG